CCCCAAAACCCCAAAACCCCAAAACCCCTTAAATAAAAATCATAAAAAAATGAAGTTTATAAGAAATACAATTTATAATTTAAGTAGTGAGTCAATGCCGGATAGCAAACATTAAGCTAATACTTCGATAATACCGAGTTTAACAATATATAAAGTAAATATTGCTCAGATATCTTATGCTTCTTCTTTAATAATCTATGGAGAACCATCTATTCCACTTATATTCATTTGCCTTTATGTTCTTTCATTAAGTTTATGTATTATCTTTTAAGGGATATATATTTTATTATTACGCATGACAAGCTAGGAAATATTATTCGAACTATTGTTTTAACTGTTATTTGTTTCAGTCATTTACATCTACCTAGATATCATCGATTCATTTATTATTTCTATGTTATTGGGGTTTGATATCATTTGATGAAGAATTTAAGGAGTTTCTGAATTTATCCTTTAATGTCTTGATCTTCTCACAAGTTAATCCACAGGTATGTTTATCGCACCTGGCTCAATCTAATTTACATCCAAGAAGCATTAAGGAAAGTGTTTCTTGGGAGATTAGGGTTTCTTTGTGATAATTTTTCTTTGCCCATTTGGCTGATTTCCCAAACTCAAGGAATGAATAGCTTCACCAAGAATGTTTTATTAAGCTTCATTTCTTTTGTTAAGAATCTTACCATTACTATTTGAAACTGAATTTATAATCATTTTAGCATCAAAACTTTAGAGAGGTAAACCTTTGGCACTAAGAATGGCATCTTATCGGAGTTCTTATTGTCTACTAGGAGGGAAAAGCTAAATGTTTTTGGCAGTGGTATCAGTGGCTATTACTTCATTTTCAATGTTAGTTCTGTCTGTTATCTAATCATGTGTAAATTAGCTCACTTAAAGAGGCTAATGATTTGGATTATCCTTGAAAAAAGTAAAGTAGTATTAGTCTTTCGTGCTATCTCCAGCAGTCGAAATTTCTGCATAAGGTGGTTGATAACTATTGTGATTTTCTTGTGGGTTTAGTTTACTTTTTACATTTATTTAACTTATCATTGTATCTTTATGTACATCTGATAACCTTGAAGGTAAAGTATTGGATTAAGTTCCTGATTGATTTAAACTGTTGTTTTGCTTAACATTACTTCTTCTTTTCTTTCTTTCTTAAGATACATTCCCACTATTATTAATTGATGAGTTTTAGAAGATAAAAATGTTGCAAATATTGTTAATATTTTTGATAATCTTAGGCCTTGCTCTTCTGTTCTCAACTCTAAACGAAGAGTTATTCCCACCTTCATTCAAAAAGCTATCATCAACCCTTTTATCAGCAGTCTTGAAAATATGAGCATTTTATTGTTAAAATAAGTCTGATTGTTAAATATTAGAATCCTCAAGAGTATTTTCCCTATCAAGAACATTCTTTCTTGAAGGGCTATTGTACTTGCCTGTAATTCCCTAATCATTGATATCTTGCGTATATATTTTTTATTAAGACACTGGATAAGGGATGCTAGAATTTTCATTAAATGACTTATTTCTAAATTATCTTTAGACTCTTACTCCAGTGATAGGCTCGAGCTTGATATTCTTATTAATAGAGGATTCAACTATTTCTGTATTTCTCTTAATCCCCTATAATTATTCACTACCATTTATGTAGTTTCTAGACTAATTACTAGATTACTTGGTAGAAAGTGATCTTTGCTATGGCTATTAAAATTCAAATTATGAAACCATATTCCTGCTTGAAGGGGATTGTTTATTGTTGTTATCTGAAGAAGATATCAACTGATTGCTGTTGATGTTGTTAATTAACTATTACTTAGAATACTGGTTAGCTCCTCCTGATAACTCATGAATTATTTGGGAAGTGTTTACATCTTTTTAATGAAATTTTATCTGGTTCGGTGAAAGAATGAAAGTTTGATTGGTTTACTGATAAAGATTAAACCTTGGATCATTGATTTCAAAAAATGCTTTGGCATTTTGATGAGTTGCTGTACTTTATAATGAGTTATTCAATGACAACTTAGATTTTGAGAATTGCTATGTTACTGCTATAGGTGGAGTTTTTATATTATCATACTGATTTCTACCCTATTCTGTCATTTACTAAGGCGATATCATAAACTAAGAGTTAAGTAAAGCAGTGTTTGGTACCTAGCTAATTACTCCGTTATAATGATCAGCACTGAATTGTTTCACAACTAGATTTTCAGAGTAGTTTAACTTGTCAATAACTTCCTAATTAAATTAAGGGTATTAAAGGTTGTTAATTCTCATCTGAGGAAAAGGAGAATTTGTTCATGGACGCTTGTACTAAGACATTTACTATAAACTTTACTCTTTTGATTATGTAAAGAACTAAAGTCCATTATTAAGATTTGTGTTTTGATTTCTTTGACCCTCCCCTGCTATAAGACCATCTTTTTTACTTTCTTTATATTTGTTAAAGAACGATCGATTTTTATTTTTCTATGGCTCGAAATCGCTAAAATTTCTAGCATGTACGCCACTTGTACCTCCTCTTAACTGAAATACTGTTGAGATCGCTGCTTCAGTTGAGTTTACTGGATTCATTCTATTATTCTAACTCATTCGTGTATCCATAATTCTATGATATGCAAATTATATTTTAAGCAATAATCCTATATCGATTTAGATTCAATAAACTCATTATCATTCATATTTGAACCCATGGGGTTTTGGGGTTTTGGGGTTTTGGGGTTTTGGGG